GGGTGGGCTGGCCTTTGGGCCATGCCAGTAGCCCAGACACCTTCTCCGTGCTGAATACATATATTCTGATCGAGTATTGTGTCTTCTTTCGTCTTAAGGGAGTCTCGGGACGCTACATTGGTGGCAGCGGAAAGCGAACCCGATCTTAAAGGACATGTATCCTGATTTCCCACTTCTGCGTGATAAGCCTTAGTGGGACGGAAGAAGTACATATGCTACGGATAGGAGAATGGCGATGACTCCTAACAGAAGGGTTGGTGTTGACGTCTACCTTCGGCATCTCTCCCAGTCCCGTGTTCTGCAGAAAAGCTATTAACAACTGAAGCGACACTAGCCGTGAACCATCTGGAAGTTTCGTTACGGATTTCCCCTACCGTCCCTCATGGACCTGTTTTAAATCTTGTACTTCCTTACTCAAATCTGCTTTTAGGCCAGTGTTCCTGCATCTATTTATGGACACGCATGATGGCCGGCGCAGTTCCCCGTCCTGAATCAAGTTCCTGAACCGGACGAAACCCCAGATCCAGTCAAGCTGCCAAGAGGGATCAGTGACGTTGAGGTCAAGTATCCCCTCAGTTGCGCGCTAATTTGGTGACTGGCACGGTTGGATCGTGGGTGTTTCTTTACTGCACCGACTACGTTGTAATGGCTGACGCGGGAGGTTGACCTGCGGGAGCGCCGGGGACGACGCTCAAAAGAGGAGGGAGGCTATGTAATACGATAGTGGTTTCTCCCTCGGTTCTGGCGAGGCGCCACTTTTGTACTTTGAACTAGCTTCCTTGTACCTCGCCGGGTGGGCTGGCCTTTGGGCCATGCCAGTAGCCCAGACACCTTCTCCGTGCTGAATGTATATATTCTGCCCGGGTATTGTGTCTCCTTTCGTCTTCAGGCGGTCTCAGGACGCTACAATAGCATCTTAATGCAATGCTTCGTAAATGCATGAATGATGATGATTTGTTGGAAATCAAGCCCCAAAATATTCCGCGTTTTTTCATATCCCTTACCGTGATGTTTATGGCAATAATGGAGCAGAAAGTGCATTAGCAACATAAACGATTTTAAGGAGCAGATTCTGACTAATTTGTAGAACAAATAGGCTGTCTATTATTGAGGAGGCATTTTAAGTCTTATGCTGCACTGATATGTCCGAAAGCTTTTACAATCATTACCGGATCCAGTCACATTCCCTAAATTTACATGCCACCACCTACTGTTTGATCAGTCAGTCACTCTTGTAGCAGAATCCAGATTGGGGTTGTAATTGAGAAAAGTGAAAATAAAATTACTGTTGTTAGCATAGGCAACGTCCTATTAGCATAAGTACAACTCCTGTGCCGTTTTTTTCTTGAAATATGCGTAACAGAGACGCCTCAGGATTATTGCCACCATGCTGGTGAATTATCACCAATTTCTTTTGACCAAACGAGGAGATCTTAGAACACAAAGGAATTGAAAAAGTTATCTGCAGGCCCAATCCATTGTGCAATGCAAGGCAGCACAGCTAGCCGATTCTTTACTGAAATTATAAGAAGTCACAGCAGTGTAGCAGAAACTGTACTACAGGCGTACAGATGGTCTACGGGGCTACTGGCATGACCCAAAAAACCATGCTGGCGAACGGCATTACTGTCTACCCGCATAATTCAGCGCAGAGTTAAACGCACTATCAAGGCATTACCAGAACCCGGAGTTTTATTCTTTCTAGGGTTTTACAAAATATCCTGCACATTCAACAATGAATTCCTCCTTATGGGTCCTCCTTCCACAATATTGTAGGTTCCTTGAGAGTGATTTTGGCTAATTAAGAAAACGACTAAACTTTTGCACGTTGACATCACCTCAGAGTGTGTTGTGGAATAGGGTCAGGTGAGTTTGACTACCCCCACCTTGCCTTGAGGCCTTGTTGTGTGTGTGAGGTGGAAGGGCATCAGGAATGATTACTGCTTGCCAGATGTCAAAATTGTTACGTGGTCCTTGATCTGCCACCCATGAAACCCTGTCAACTGTAAGTAGGTTGGATAACGTCTGCATGAAATCGTCGTAGAGCAGCAGTAACCTCACTCCTCTGCTCTCCTTTGCCCCCACCATGAAGCTGATGCATTATTCGCGGTGTTTGATACCAGTCAAGTAGGGGAAATGGCAATCGTCTTGCTGATATGGACTTAACGCAAACAACACCCGACTGCAGCCAAGACAATTTCCCTGTAGTAGTTCCCCAATAGGCTTAAAGCCATCCTCACTCCCATCAGCTCTCCTTATTTTACTCTTTACAGTGAGGAAGTGGTAGGGAAAAGTTTCTATTACACAAGGGAGAAGGTAATTGGCCACTCCATTTGAAGTGCGCCTAAGCTGTTTGCATACCACTCCTTTCCTACGTTGATAAGGCAAAGCAAACGAGCCGAAAAGGAATGAAAGATCCATGTGCTACACAACTACACGTCTTCACTTTTTGAATTACTTAAAAAAATGGTAGAAAAAAAGAGCAGTCTTATCACATCCTGCTACTACGGTGCTGCCATCTGTTGGCCGGTCGTAAGGTCGGCGCGGCGTTGGTGATGCCCTCATCCTGCAGCGTGCTAACAAGACAGTGGTAGCTACCATGAAAGTAAGGACAACCATGCGTGCAGATTTAATGATTCATTGTCGCCAAAGTGGTGGCTCACCTTCCAGCCGCTTGAAGTGGAAACAGGAAAGTTGGCGATGCAGGACTGATTCTGTGTCAACGCGTTAAAGAAACTTAACCAGTCTACTTCCATCCAGTGGCACTTCTGTAATATTTTCCACTGACTTCTATGCGTCAATCTTGCCAAAATGGCAAAAATCACTCAAAGCCGGGGGCGGTATTCTTTACAACTTTAGGTACCATTGTTGTATGCAGGGCTCCACTGTTTCATTTAACAGCAGAACCAAATTAGACCTGTTCTTGATCCTTTACCAGATAGATGGATGGATATGCAAAGAATGTATGAGCCCACCAGACACACACACGACTTGTGGTCACATAATGTAACTTCCTCTCCCTACCGAATGGCGTATGGACTTGAAATCGCTGTGCTACGATCCTCTGGGGGAGGAAATCTGACAGTACACACTGAACAGCACGCCTGACTAAGCGGTCTACAAGATGTGTAGGCCTGCTACGAGGGGGATATAGATAGGACACGAGACTCGGATCTAACAATCTCTATGCCATAAAACACGTGGCATTCCAGATAACGCCAAGCGAAGAAACCGCAAAAGCGTCAACAGAGGCCAAACTCCCTCCATCAAAGTCTATCATCCACTCGCATCAATGAAAGGAAGGGTTTCAGTCTGCCACAAAAGTGCAGCTAAAAAATGTTCGCTATTTCACATATTTACGAGAACAGTGCTGTTACACAAATAAATAGCAAAATATTGTTACGTGTCCACGTTGTCTATATCGAATTTTGTGGAGAGGAGATGGAAGAGAGGTTCAGTCTCAATGCCCAAATCCACACCAGCTGATGGTGATAAAAGGGGGAAGGTAAAAACACTATCAGAACTTGCAACATCTGCAACTCCTTCGCTTTTCGACTCTGCTTGTCGTTGCCGATCCTGATGCCGGGCGGTAGAGGAAAGGGGGGAGTGAAAATCAAGAGCAGGAGACGGATGGATGGTTTCGGCAGAGTTGAATTGGAGGCTGATCCGGAAATCAGAAGGAGGGTCTTTCGCACCACAAGGCGGTCTGCAAGGCAAAAAAAAGCATACGAGTGCATTGAGGCTACCCTTAAGGGACATTGTCCCATTACTCACTTCCTGTCCGTAAAAGGGAAATCGTTTTGCGCATTGGTCACTACTTGACAAGGTGATGAATGAGGAGGTGGGACGTTAGCTAAGGATGGTTGGTGGTGTTTGGGTGGATGTTCGTGGTAGTTGCTAGAACGCTTTCTAGACTCTCGGGTAAATAATCTGTCCGATTCGCGCAGCCTCTCATCCATTGCCAGAGCAACCTCTCGTGGTGTAAGCAACCCCTCACCATCACCACCCGCATTCTGGCGCATTCTACTGTAAGGGAGAGAAAGACGGTGAGAGAAAAGGGTTTCGGCTGGTTTCATAGTCGAAAGAAGAGGAACGGACTAAATAACGACTCACCACCTATCCGTCCGTAGTCCCTCCTTGACTATTTTGGCATAGCGTCGGTGCTTCTCCATGGGGGGTATGACAAATGGCCTATTTTCGGGCAATGCTACGCCAAGCTTGTGACACGCCTCCTCAAGAATCTTCACAATCAACTTATGATGAGAAAAGGCATCCATCTCGTGGGGTTCATTTTTCACCAATTCTGCGGAAATCCGGAGAATTTGATGATAAGACAAATTCTCAGGTGTCCTGTTGACGCCGGGTAGATGAAGATGGATGTCCTCTTCGGAGAGGCATGTACGGATTAATTCGTAAATAATAGACTCTCCCCGACGTCGATCTCGTTCTCGAAGATTGTGCTCCTGACGCCCCTTTCTCCTTACGATTTCCGATGTCGACACAGGCGATGAATTGGCAGCCCTTATACATATTCGTTTACTTTCTCCTCTCCTGATGTCTTTATCCAACATCATGCATTTGTAAGGGGGGTCAAAAGAGGTGGTGGTAGATGATTGATGAAACAACAATTCGGGTTGGGATGGGGAAAGAGAAGGATGCCTACTGGCTAGGTTAGCCGTGGATCGACCCTCATCGCTGCCACTGAAGCTCCAGGTTAGGTGCTGTTTGCGAGAGTGATTTCGATTTTCTAGTCTTCTAGAGGTCATCTCCGTGGAAAGGATAAAAATTTGCACTAAAATGTTGAACCAAGTCTTCAGTTTATAGAACGAGAGGAAAGAAGTCGGGACATATGATTTTATAGTCAGCTTATGCTTCTGGTCAAATACGATTGAGTCACTAGGTAATATCTCTTCTAAACCTGAAAGATGGACATTGTGAACATGGTGGACCTATAATCCCTCAGTCTAAAGGTCTGCAAGATGGCTGAAAACGACCGAGATTGCTACAATAAATTTCACCACACTTAAAAGCCCAAATCTCTTGTTCTCTTACGCAACCGTAGAAGAAAAAAAGCCAACTGTGAGGGACAACAAGGTAAGACAAGATCACGACAATCCGAAACACCAGAGGAGCCCACCTCAAATCCGGATTTTATAAAACAAGGTCAGATGGGGACAGTTGACAGGCGAGCAGTAAAACAAACCGCATATGATCAAAAACTTAGGAATCCTTAGCTGCCTCTATTTAAAAATTAAAATTTAAAATCTGTAGTCTTTTTAGCTAGGATGAATGGGAGCTGAATTGGTTTGTGAGCTGCGCCTCTCGCTTGTTGTTTGTCTATTTTTCAGAAACAACTAAAGCAGAGGCTTAAAAGTAATTAAAAGGCAAGTCATTTATTCACTTCTTAAAGATTTAATTATTTTTTTAATAGCTAACCCAAACAAACACATTGAAGATGGGCACATACATCGGATAGCCGTATGAAGGCTATATTTTAATTAATAGCGTCGCTACCACTTCTTTAATACAAAGTTGGTTATAATTTCAACAATTTGGAAGACTAAATGACAACCTTAGTAAGGAATATGAAAGTGTTGTTAAAATTAATGTAAGTTATAAAATTAAAAGAAATTCATGAGCAGAATACGTATCACGAGTCCCCTGTATTCAAATGTTGCATTTTTTTTAGCTTTGGAAAAGTGGTAACAATTTACTCGCCCCACAGGTGCCTGTCAAACAGCAATTAGCGTGCAAAACAGTAGCGATGATAGAGCTAAATCTTTTTGTCATACATATTTTGGGTTAAAGATGCAAAG